TTTCTTAAATATGACGATTTTTTAATCGAAAAATATAAGTTAATTTATAATTAATGCTCTATTCAGTTCATTTTAAATTAGAGAATTATTAGAAATTAGCAAAATACTTTAAATAGTACTTAACTTTCTCTGAACATTTCTGAAAGGAAATAAACGTTTTTTTTTTTTTTTTTTTGATTTTTTTTTTTTTTTAAAGTATTATTTAAAACTTTTAACTGAGTTATTATGAAAATGTAAGGGGAATAATTCTTTTAATTATACTTATCAGATTTTTTTTACCATTAATTTCAACAATACATATTCCAAAACTCTTTATTACTTTCTTAAGTGCGCATCTCATAGCATTTGCTTTACAATACCTTTTAACAGATTGCTTTCCAGTACGAACAATTCTTGCTTAAATAGTTTTATAACGTATTTGTCAACAGGATTTCAATTTATGTTTACAATTCAATATTAAGGTTATTATATATTTAGATAACATTTATAATCATTATAAATTAGATACATTTAATAATTAGATTTCTTCACAGTTGTTTATAAATGAATAAATTCTTCATTTCAAATACATTTATAAATAATTTAATGAATATTTATGTATTTTGTTAAAGGCGGATACACGCTTTTTGCAAGCACATGCATAAATACCCATACATATTTCATATTTTTCATTTCCAGCATGTGCAAATCTTTAATTTCTGTGCATTCACTATATTTTATTTTTAATTAACCCAAATAAGTAAAACGGGTAAGCCCAAAGGGATTATTTTTCAGATATATAAAATTAAAATGATGAGTTTAAAATGAGCAACAGTAAAGCCGCTCCTCTAAAAAAGTTTAAAAGGTACATCTTACAATAATATATGGATGTGAAAAAAATTTATTTTATTCAAAACATTTTGGCGTTTGGAACATAAAATAAAAGTAGCGAATACTCTATCAAGGGTATCAAAAGACGTATACAATTTTAAAGGTACCGTAAGGTATTTTTCATTCTTTAAGCATAACATTTTTGTTAAAATTAATATTTTTGTAGTTTAACAGCTTAGAATTTTATAAAAGAAATTCATAATTAAAATCGCTGTTGTTAGTTATCGAAAAATAACCAAGATGTGATTTTTGCGTAAATGTCGCTAAACTATACAAATTGCTATTATCCGTCACACTATGAATGTTTCTTTCATGCGAAAGTGTCCCTTTTTTGATTTGTGTGGAACTATCGTGTGTCGAAATACTATCAGAACACTGTCAAGCGAGCTTCTGAACGTAAACAAAGAACACCCCATCTGGTGACCGAAGCTTCGAAGCAGTGCTTCACTTCTATTGCCGGTTGGCCACTCCTTCCTTTCTTATCTCCATGGATATAGTACAGTAAGGTAAATCGAAAAAATACATCTAGATTTTAATGTTCTTGAATATAAAAAGAGCTTCAGGAAATAAGTATACTAATTGTAAACTTATTCAAACATGCTAAAGTAACCTAGGAACATCTACCTGATTACGGATTTTTTACGTACTCGCACTGTAGAACCTTCTCCGGGTAATATTATGGGAAAATAGTCTGGAAAAGGGGTGTCCTCAAGGACCATAACTGTTTTAAAATTTCTTTTACAGATGATCTGCTTTTAATTGTTCAATGCAAACATTTCGTTGATGCTTGTTCTTTGTCTCATGATTTACTTGATACTGCTTTTTGGTGGTCTAAACTTTGTAAATTGAAATTCAATCCAAATAAAAGTTAAGTTATGATGGTGTATAAAAAGACGACTACTGACTGCAAAATAAGTTTATTACTTGGGGATGTTCCTATAAAAGTTACTCAAATGAAGTATTTAGGCGTTATCTTGGATAACAAATTTCAGTGGAAGTATCACATTTCCAATCTCTCCAAAAAATGCAGAAAGGTAGTCTCAGGATTATTTAGAATTTCCAGAAACACTTAGTCAAAACATATGTTCCTTAAATTGATCTATAGGCAAGGAATAGTGCCAGTTATTTTCTATGCATCAAGGGTTTGAGGCAGTTCTTTTCTGAAAAAAGTAAACTGCAACTTTCTAAGGAAAATTCAAATAAGATTTCTTCTAAGAATTCTTTGCGGCGACAGAGCTATTAGTTGAACTATTAGAACTATTGAAATTTTGAGCAATATTGTGCTGAAAGAAAGAATTGCAGGCAATCCTCATCAAATTTTCTTGACAGCTATCTTCCAGTTTCTTGTTTGCCTCATCCTTTCAACAATAGTTCTATACCAGTCGTTGGCGATTCCAGTGTTGTTCTTGAAGAGCGGAATTTAATTTGTTTGACAGAAGGAAGCAAGATGAATGGTAAGGCTGGCTTTGCTTTTGGTGTTTATGAAAAAAAAGCAAGAAAGAGACTTCAACCAGTACAGAATTAATGGTAAGTGCTCTGTTTTTCAGACTGAAATGCTGTATTTAAACCTTGCTGTGAAATGGATTCAAAATTCTTTGAGTCGTTTGAGATCAATGCAAGTGTTAATCTGTAGTGTTTCTTTTTCTTTGCTACAATTATATTACAGAAAATTAGTGTTTCAGAGAATCATATATTTAAAACTTAGGTCATTATTAAGGCCTTGCAAGATCTTGATATCTACATTCATTTTGCTTACGTTTGTGGACAATATGGAAATTTTGGAAATGAGAGTGTTAATGCTCTAAACAAAGCTAGCCACAGAACTCCACATTTATTTAAATCTCTGTATTCCTGTTTCTCACTGGAAGTGCTTTTATCGAAATGATGCTATTTGCATCCCAAAATGCAGGAATGGACCAAACGATTTTTTCCTGCAGTTTTTCACAGAATAAAATTGATAATTTTTCAATAGATTTTAAAGTAATTCAATTTTTGAATGGATGTGGCAATTTTAAGAGCTATTTAAAGTGCTTTGGACTTGATTCAAGTACTTTGTGCAGTTGTGGTTGCAGTGATGAAGATGTAGCATATTCTTCTTGAGTGTGTTCATCATGTCACCAGCAGAAGAAAACATTTCAGGCAACTTTGAAGTGCCTGTCCATATCTGGGCCACTAATTGTTTTAAAACTTTTTCGGACTTCTGCCTTTTAGAATTTCATTCTCAATTTAGATTATTGAGTTATCTTTATTTTATTACCTTTCTGATTTTACTTAAAATTTCTCTTAATTTTTTTCAATTTTTCCCCATTTGCAGTGCTACTGTATATTTTATTTATTTCGTTAGTGACATAACTTACTTGTGTTAGCCTTGTGGTATACTTTGGAGAGCACAAGGAGTTGCAATCAAAGTTAGTCAAAAAAAAAAAGTATTTCATTGATGCTCAGTTGCTTCAGTTATTTTCGTAACTCTAACAGAAGCTCCATCATCACATTTCCTTTCCAGAAAGAAATCGTTACAGATGAACATATTCAAATTGGCATTTACATATTATCACAGCCACCTTAGTAGAAGTTACGAAATTTTCAGAATGTGCCAAATTCTGGCAAACATACTTGTAACAATTTTTCATTCAAGCAAAATCACCATTTTCAGCTGCCTTCTTTTTGTTATATTCCAAGTTCTAATAATTTTTATAGATATATCATTATATTTTTTGCTTTAAGCTTAATTTTAAAACATTCCTTGCAGAATTTGCCATCAGTGCAAGAAACTGTGGTAACATTTCTGCAGGAATACAATATTTTGCCACAGAATGAATCGCTACACGGAAGAATGATGAGATGTCTTTGGCAGATAGCCAGTGCACAATGTTAAGTATGTGCAATCTCTGATGTTTTTTAAGCAAAAACACATTGCTGTGCACATGGGGAGAAGTACAGCGCTAAAAAAATTTAAAAAAGAATTTTGTGAAAAATGTTTTATTCTTAATGTAACATATAACCATTGTTTAATAATTAGTATCTATATTTAAAATGAGTTTTCTTTGGAACTTGTATCTTCATCTTACGATAAATACTGACAGTTCAGGAATATTTAAAAAAAAAAAAAATTCCCAAAAATTACCAATTTGCGCACCTGATAAGTAACATTTTCATCTGTAAAAAAATCACTAACCAAGGTAGTTATGTTATAATGCAAGTACCATTAGAATTATTTGAAATAAATGTCATTCTGAAAATTAATTATTTAGCTAGATACTTGCATATTAGTTCGACTACCTTGGCAAAGTTTTCCAATTTCTAACAGAAGAAAATGAATGTTGATTTATAATTGCACATAATTCATTATTACATGAACATATACTTTACTTTTAATTAGGTATTTATACCAAAAATCAGTCAATAAACCTACTTATAAAATGGTTCTTATCTTTTGCTCTGGCGGAAATTTCATTCATCACTTTAAGAACAAATACAGAATTCTTTTTTCTTTTAGCGATTTTGCAATAAAATATTATTATTCCTACAGAAATTTCTGCAGTTTCTTCCACTGCACATAAAACCCATAAACACGTTTCAAAACTGAATTTAAAATCTAAATTATGATGAAAACCATTAGAATTTAGAATGCAAGAAAAAGAACACATACGAAAATGGTGCCAAGTAGTTGCTAAAACTGAAGAATTGTTATATGCACAGCTGCCAGAGGCTGGTGCATTCTGAAAACTTAGTGTGGGTGATTTTGCTAAGATGTCAGTACCAAAATTTTTAACGAATTTCTAAAAAGAATGCAACATCAACAACAGTATAAAAATTAATTCCATTTAGATACTGAAATTTTGAATTACTCCATTAAGAATTGAAGCAAAGATGTATGAAATATCATAGTTGCTCCATAGTTTACAATAGGTGCTATTACTGTTTGATACAGAATGCTTTGTACATGGGGATTCAATCCCCAGTTTGACCCTTGCCTGCATTTGGAGCTTTAACCTAGTGTTCAAGATTTCCCTTAGTGAGGCAATATATTGGAGATCTGAGAAATATGCATTGGTTACGACAAAAAAGATATTTAATCACCTAAAATATAAATGATAATTGCAAAAATAAAAGTAACTCATTTGTACAACCTGCCGACAGGACCCAATGGTCCACAGTCATCCACCTCTCCAGTTGCAATCCATTCTTCTAAATTAAATCCAGGAGGTAACCAAACTTCTAAATTTATCATAATTTCTGGACCATCGCCATCCACAGTTTTGCATTCACTTGCACTATAGAAATACACATAATTGGAATAACAATTCATACATTAACAAGATTTGTGTTGTAAGCATTTAAAAAACTGAATATGGTTAAACATAAGTATGAAGCATTTCAAAAGATGTTATACAGCTTTACATTGGATCCGAGAATGCTTTCTAAAGATGCACATAATTGTAAAAAATTTTATAATATTATGATACATATAATGTTGTCAACAACAACGTAAAAAACACTACCGTTCACAAGTCATATACTATTTCAACAGAGTAAAGGAAACTCATTTTTTGTTTTGATTTGAGGCCTTACATCATCAGATGTTTTTCTTGTAAAGCTTTGCAAACAATTGCATCACCCTTAGCCAATTCCGATGAACTAATATTTAAAGTTACAGCCAACTACTGTAATTACCCTTTATCTGTGTTCCAAGTGTGGCAGAAAAACAGTTTTAAGCAGCACATCTGCAAAATTAATAACAGCAGTTCTGTTGAACTTAACTTTTTTTAAAAGTAGATTAAAAAATTAAAAAGTATTATTCGACATTTGCACAGTGACAAAGATTATTCATATATTATTGCTTATTCTCTATTGCGATACATATTTATAAGCCATTTTTAAAACTCACTGAATAGTAAGGGCACCTAACTATTATATATATTACCTATGCAATGAAAAAGACATTAAAATAACTGCATGTTCTCTCCAAAAATTAGCATTGACTTCTGAATGAATCCAGTGATTATTAAATCATTTTCATAAATGCCTCCAAAAAATTTCATGACGTATCTTAAATGTGTGGGCAAATATAGCACATACTTTTCATCTGATAATCACTTGATTACTGATAATTTTCTGTAAGCTATATAATATAGGGCAGGAGTTCTCAACCCGTGGCATGCATACCACTGGTGGTACACAAAAGTAAAATAGGTGGTATGCAAGAATAAAATAGGTGGTATGCAAGAATAAAATAGGTGGTACGCAAAAGTGAAAAGTATTTTTAACTATTAAATTCAAAAATTAAAACCCCAATATCTTGATTGAGTTTTTCTCTAACATTCGTATATTTATGCGATCTGAGCTTTGTTCAAGAGTTGTGGTGTTACTCGTACTTTGTAATGGTGGTACTAAAGTTCTTGAATTTTTGTTTAGATGGTACATGTTAGTCTAAAGCTTGAGAACAGCTGATATAGGAAAAATGCCTTTAAAAGATTAAATACGAATATTTTATCACAAATAAAGTTTACTTGCAAATACTTTATTTAAGATCTACAAAGCTATTTTTTAGAAGTTTTCTAATTTTTCAGTCGTGTACAGCTTAACAATTCTAACTATTTTGAAAAACGTCAAAATATTCTAAAATTAATAATTATTATTACATTTTAATACATGCTTACACTCATTTAAAAAATATAGTAATAATAATCTATTACACAATTGTGATAAAGACATTTATACCCACTAAAATATTTTTATTACATTTGTTATTATCACAGCAAAGACTGCATAGATTTTTGCAGTAGTAAATGTGAAATATGAACTGTGCTCATGCCAGAATTCAAATTGCAGATCCTTTATTTGCTAGATGGATGTGTTAACTACTATAATAAAAAGGACATATAAAGAATGCATATACTCCTCATTTAGAATGTGACTTCAGAAAAAGGTCAAGACCTAGCTGATAGTGTGAAGTTACCACCTACGACATTTCAATTCAAATATCACTGTAGAGGCTATAAAGGCTAATAAGAACTGGAAAAATTGAAAAATCAATTGTGCTTTCATTGGGAGTTGAACGAAAGATCTGCTAGGGGCAATTTTAATATGCTAATACAACAACATTGCTGCAATATGATGATGTTGCTACAACAACGACACACACAAAAGAAGTACCCTAATTTATTATATGGTATGTTAAAAGTATAAAACACTTATTAGGTAGAAATAAATAAAATACTGACATTGTCCTATGACTGTTACTGACTTTTTAATCAGTTTGCCTTAAAAAATGTTAAACAATTCTTTTCAAAATGAAAATTAAAACTTATAAACAATAGTGGTACAAGAGTGGCATATAAAGCTTTATTAACTTTGACATACATATTTTTATCTATATTTGGCAATCTAAAATATAGAAAAATAAAAATTCGAAATATAATTTCACTCATTCATATTTTACTCTAAAAATGTTGATGTGTGCAAAAAGTTCATACTGAATCAATTTTATTCATGTCATACTGAAGGGTGCTTTTTTTTTATTATTTTCTAGTTTAACTTTGTAGATGTGAGGTAAAAACCTAACAACTGTTTGTAGCATCACCAAAAATGAGCTTATATCAAAAAATCATTAAAACATATACACACACTGGCCAACGAATTAGAAACCTTTGAGAATTTCATTTGAATGCCTGCTAGGGATGAAGTATGCAAAATTTTTTTTTAAACTTAGGTTACACGTGGTTCGAATGCTAGTATAAGTAAGGTGTAAGAGTGTTTTTTCACGATGAATGAAGTAAAATGGGAAAAACAACAGATCTTTCACCATTTGAAAAAGGGCTTTTAGTTGGTGCCCATTTAGCAGGGCCTTGATTTCAAAGACAGCAAATCTCACTGGGTTCTCAAAAGCAGCCATATCAAAGGTTTTCAAAAGTTGGAATCGGAACAACCGTCCTTCTCTAGAAGACTGTAACTGCGGTTCAAGCACAGTTTTCCAACAGAACGATTGATGGCGTCTCCAACAAACTGTACAGCAGAACAGGGGCTGTACTGTGCTTCAAACAAGGCTCTTCCTAACAAATTTCAGCTCGAACCATGCACAGAGAATTGCAGGGGATAGAAATGCATAGTCGTGTGCCTGTGAGAAAGCCACTCGTTTCTGCCTGACATGCAAGAATTCGTTTACAGTAATTTCGGGAAAGAAGACACTGGTCATCTGAGGACTGGAAATAGGTAATGTTGTTGGATGAATCATGCTACACCTTATTTTGCACTGATGGAAGATGTCAAATTTGGGGAGAACCCCACGAAGCCATCTTGCCTTACTCACAATGTGCAAGGGTCTGGTGGGAGTATCATATGAGGGCATGTTCTACTGGCATGGAAGTGATGCCCGGTACCCCTCGAGGGTAAACAAACAGCCAATATAGATACCTAGATATACTGGCAGATCAAGTGCACCCTGCAATGTTGCATTTTTACCCTGATGGCAACAGATGCTTCATGGATGATAATGCAACCATACATTGTGCCAGAAGTGTTCAAAATTGGTTCGTTGAACATCAGTCTGACTTACAACACCTTCCCTGGCCACCGCATAGTCCGGATCTTAAACCCATAGAAAATGTGAGGGATATGGTGGAAAGATGTATCCTACAGCACTTTCCTCTTCCATCTAATTTACAAGATCTAAAAAGCTGCATAGCCAATGCATTGTATTTCTCTGGATGTAAATGCACTCCAGAAGCATGTAGACTTGATGCCCAAACAAAGCAGAACAGTTATTCATGCAAAAGGTGGTCTAATAAAATATGAGCTTGGGTTTCTAATTCATTGGCCAGTGTTTGTAGATCAGATCAGTTATATAACTAGACAATATTGTTACCACTTGCTCCAATATGGCATCTATAGCCAACATAAGAGTAGTAGTAAAGTTAGGAGGAAAAAAGATCATGGGCAAATTATATGATAGTGAAAACAGCCAGGAGCACATTGTCAGCATTCCTACTTGTGCATTCAGATATACATAATCCTATTTTTTTAATGGCATGCTATTCACATGAACTCCAACTGCTGTGGCTATTTGGTACCAATTTCTTGGCAGTTATAGCAGTGCTTGTGAAACACGGAAGTTTTCACATTGGAGCTATATTATATTTAGCAATGAATTATAGCTCAGATTTAGTGGAGAATTCATGCATGAAATAGACTCAATCAAGGCTTTTTGTCCCACCTCACTGCTGAATGGCACACATTCATTGTTTTAACATATACAGAACCATTTTTTACGATATATGATCATCTTTACTGATTTTATACAGGTCACTAATAGCACAAGCCATCAATATCCTGTGATCTGCTATACTGCCAATACCAGAATTACTCACATAATTTTCTTCTTGATGTTTTTAGAACATTAAGCTAAAGTTATGGTAACAAAATGGAAGCTATGGATTGGCAGCAAGCTATAAAAAGTGTGTATGGTGTGTGTGTATTTAATTATGGCAAAGCACACGAGGGCTATCTGCCTAAAGGGAGGGATGCCTTTCGTGGAGGACTTTCTAAGGGAAACTGGCTCGTATACACGTTACACATGGGGAAAACCACGAAAACGCCCATGCATCCAGCCCGTTCGCGGGATTCGAACCTCAGACCGAACTACCAGTGTTCAGCGTCTTTACCGCTCGGCCGCTGGTGGGCCAAGCTATAAAAAGAAAAATAGTAATAAAATCATTAATGTGATAGACTTCTTTGAAATGCAGAATACATTCATATGAGTATATGCTTTTAAAATCATTGCCTACTGTGATCCCCATTTGGAGATTTCCCTTGCACCCAGTTGGCAAAGTCATGCTAAATTAGAGTTGATATACTGAAGTACAAAATGTTCACTTAATTATTACTTTCCTGGGTAAATGTAATTTATAATTAAATTTGAATATTTGACACCTCTTATATTTAACAAAGTGATGTAAGTAAAATATGCAATGGGCAAAACAAGCATTAGCATATTCTCTCCTTTTTCCTAATTTTACCCCTTGAAAACAGTGAGGGGAAATATATGCAATCTATTTCCTTTCTGAAAAAACAACGTAAATGATAAATATAACACATTAAAAAACACACATGAAGACACACTAATACATCATGCATTTCAAAGAACCTATCAACATTAATATTCTATTTACTGACACAAATTGCTTTCGTATTTTTGCATACATTTTACACTGCTACCATAAATCAGAAGTTTGTATATTATGTGCTGAAAAACTAGGGGGGATACACGAGGGGGAGAAATACATGAGTAAATACAGTAAACGTGTTAAACTCAGTGCTCAACTCCACACAGAACAATATGGCATAACAAACACCTCCCCAGAGGGATTTAAAAAAAAAATTGTTAATAATGATTGATTTTTTTTTTTTTTTTTTTAAATATGTCAGTCATGCATTCAGTAATATTAAAGGAACCTAAAATTTGATTTCAAGAATTTGGCACTTAATGGGCTAATCAACTATATATTAATCAACCATTAACTCCTTTTCTCAGAAGGGGTATACGCTGCATAATTTTGCCCTCCTGATTATCAAGAAATGTAAAAGTCGCAGGACCTAAACAAGTATATCCAGTACTATTGCAACCGTCAGGGATTATATCTCAGGCAGGATGTCTGGCTACATACAATTGATATCTCCAGAGATTATCTGTGGCATGTTACAACCAGATCCATCCGATTTCTAGACTCCCCACAAATAAATATGCTTGGGATGTGTGGGACAAAAAAAAGGAAACATGAATGGATATTTCACAGTTACATTTCATATATCATTACAAATGAAAAATGTTTTATTGTAAACGTAATAGTTCATTAGTGATCTAGTGGACAAAGCTGCCAAAACCTAACAGTTTGACTCCTTTTCAAATTTCTGTGAATGGGTCTGCTGCATGGGGTTTTCATTTTTTTTCTTTCTATATGTAAAATACGTCAGCCTTTTTCCTTTAATAAATTTCTCTATGAAGGTATACTTTCTTTTAGGCAGACAGGCTTCACATACTTTGCCTTATCTAATTAAACAACCAATCAAAGTCTTAAACATTATTGTATATAAGATAACTTACTTTAACAGAAATTAGTGATTGTGGAATAAAACTTACATTGGTCTTTCACAAGATGAAATTTTTTGTAAGGTCCTTGTTGCATTATCTCCAACAGTTGCACTATCTTGCTGTAAAAGCTGTACATCAGGATAGCCAAGAACTTCATATAAAAGGATTCGCATTATATTTGAGACTATCTGATGAGAAATCCTAGAACTCATTTCAATTTTTATTGGAAGATCACGTTCATTCACATAAAAGTGCCTCTTAATATCAGCATCTGTAATTTACAATAACATGTATAAATAATTCATACATAGATAAACTTCTGACTAAAATTATAGTTAAATTATGAAGGCTGATTGAAAAGTTTTAAGATTGCTTTTCTTCTTTGATGTTACAAATGTCACACCAGCACTGGGTTTTGTGAAGATCATACATTATCTGAGCCTGCAGCTGGACTGTCATGGCCTTCAGTATTTAGCGACAGCAAGTAGAAGCACTGAGTAGAATTTGTTAAGGCAGATGAGAAAAATCACTCAAAATACAGAAGTATGTTGATGAATTCTGCATGAAACTTGGAGAATGTGATAATAAAACATTTGAATTATTAGACATGCATATTTTAAAGTAAAATTTAATTGTGCCTATGTGTGTCAATGATTGAGGTACTTCAAAGATTATAACATGCAAGTGATTGACAAATTATTTTCAGGCAGACCCTTCACTGTGGTTATGGTAGGCTGCTGGAAAATTATTAAAGGCTAATAATAGGTAAACCTCACTTAAAAGTCTTCTCTGAAAATTCTTAATACATTGTCACAGGGATTTTACAAATACACTGTAGATGCGCCAGGTGAGTACTCAGAAATATCAAAGAAAAAGAAATGCAGCAATTATATTAGATGCTCAGGAGCACTGTTAAAAATGTTTGAGACAAGTCTGGATTCCTCATTATGACTCACTAGAGAAACACCAGCCAATTGTGTGGAAAAAATTTAATTCACCAATGCCACCGAAATTATTTTCATCTGCCTAGTGCAGCGGTGCCCAACCTTGTGCTCACTGATTGTTTTGTATGTGATCCACAGCCTGATTAGGTATTATGAACAAAAAATATTTTTAAAATAACCATTCATTTATTTTTCTTAATTGTTAAAATACAGTAAGCATTTATAGTCATAAGAGATATCTTGCAAGACGTTATAAAATAACTGATTGCTGACTGATGAACTTGATAGCGAACATGGAATCTTACTGCTTCATTCCAATGTTAGATGGCTCAGCAGGGTAAAAGTACTTCAATGATTTGTAAAACTTCTTTCGCCAATAAAGCAGTTTTTGGAATCCGGAAATGAAAGTTATAAAGAATTGGACGATAGCAATTGTTTATCTGATCCGTATTTTCTCATGGATATAACAGCTAAACTGAACAGACTGAACGATGATCTCCAGTGAAAAGAAAAAAACCCTTTTTCAATTGACTGGGACTGTAACTGCTTTTCAGATAAAGTTAAATTTGTGGATAAATCAGATGATAGAAACAAATTTCACCCATTTTCAGAATTTATCAAGCCATGTTAATAACCACAAGCCAATTAAAACAGAGAAATATTCAGAAAACCTAAATGCACTGAAAAATAATTTTGAACTCCGCTTCTCTGATTTCCATAAAGTTCAACCAATATTATTATTCATCTCAAAACCATTTGCTGAAATTAATATTTCAGATGTATAGATTGGAAATATGTTTAACAAAAATGCTGATGTTTTGGAAATGTGCTTGCGATAGGCCAAAATGTGCTCGCGAGAGTCCAAAGGTTGGGCACCACTGGCCTAGTGGGCAGAGCTGTGTTTTGGTTGTTCTTTGATGCCCACAGAATGATCTTCCAGTACTGAATTTCTTAATGGCCAGATAGGAAATGGTGATTCCCAGGCAAAAATTAGTGAAGCAGTAATGAAAATCATTTAAGTGGAACTAGAAGGAAGAAGAGACTGGATTGCTCCAGAGCTCAAAAAAGAGTGATTGTTTGCTCCAGAACAATGCTAACCACATACATGGCATTGGCGGTATTGACTAAAGCTGATCAAAAGAGCCTTAGCATATCTTCTATACAACCCAGACTTAATATCATATGATTTCTAGACAGTTCTGATTCTGAAAAGAAAGTCATGTGAAAAGAAGTAATCTTTAGATGATGAAGTGAAAACCCCCACAAGACTAAGAAGGATGCCAGAAAATGATCCATTTCATGTGCCTGAATCATTCTTAAAATACTATAAAATATATATTTATGTGAAGTGCACTACTTTGAGAAAGGAGAAAATACAGGGAATATTAAAGTTATCTGTTTACAAATAAAAGAATCAATTTTGCTAATATTTCAATCAGTCTGCATAGTATGATGGTTAAGTTATATGTAATAAGAACAAATATGGGAAATATAAAATAGTAGCAGAAATATGCAAAGTAGAAAATAAGAAAAAAGAATTATGTTTTTGACTTCAAGAAAGTAACAGAAAAGCATTAAGTATATACAAAGAATCTTCTAGTGAAACCTATTAAATCATAAATTATTGCGAAAGTAATACAGTACAAAGTCTAAAATCAGGACGTCCATTATCCGGAATGATCTAAAATCCGAACCTCAAAGCCACAAACTTTTTTTTTTTTTTTTTTGGTATACTTTACGCATGCGCATTTCAGTTTTCCTTCCATAATAAAACGTGTGGCGATTTTCACTTAAAAATTCCAATTCTTAATTTCACTTAGGCACTAAATAAAATACATCATTATGAAAAAACAATCACGTAAGCATAAATTTGTGAGATTAAAATAAGTTGGCTACGCAGTTGTGTGTCTGCTTGGCATTACATCTCAAACCTAAACAATTCACCTATTTTATACCCTGACGCTGACCTGGAGAGTCATTATTTATTATATTTTGCTTTTAACACCATGTGTTTATCAATACATAACAGCTTCAGTAATAACTCATGCAGTGATGTCTAATTTTTTTTTATATTAAAAATTGAATAACAAGAGTAAGGCAACCTTTTTCTCGCTAGCATTATGCTTTGCGATGATTATAGATTTTTTAAATGCTCTAAGAAATGTTGACGAGGAAAAATTCAACAAAAATTTCTTTTCATATGCTAAAAATAGATTTCGTTAATGAAACTCATAGGCCAAAATATTACATCTAGTGATATTTTAATTAAGAATAACTGATATGTTATTCACCATAAACCCAGAAGCAGCGGCAGAATTTAGGGATGAGAAGTTTTTCATAATTTTGGGGTGCACTGGGATCCAAAGTTTAGGCGTTGTGAAAATTTGGAACTTAAGATCACGCTTTGTGGCAGAATTTAGAGACTGCACCAGGTGGTATCTAGAGCCGGCCCTAGATAAAGCCTTAAGTATATGTGAGAGTTTATTTATTCAGGACTCAGATTAGTTTTAAGCATGTGCAAGAAATAAACATAGGTATAGTGTAGGTAGTAATAGTAGGCATAGTAAATAACTAACACAATTCAAGCTTAACTCTTTGAAAACCGAAGTTTTCGGTAACCTGTAGGCATAAAATACCGGACCACCCGAAAAGGTTTTCGAGAGTCAAAGTAATTTCCTCCCCTTCCCGTTCATTAACACACAAAGAAGAGTGAAGATTTCAAATGTCATCCTGTCTATTTCCTAACAAATAAAGATAAGAAACATGAATAAATCCTTTTAGGACTAGCAGTCTGCAATAAACTAATACAATGCATTTGGGGAAACCGCACTTGCTACTGCATACCTTAGGGGAGGGGAGGGGAGGAAAAAAAAACATCGGAGAATTTCGGCTGTTTTGGGTTGTTGTGGTCATTTAAACGAAAGGCCGTCTAGGGCGTTATGGTCTTCAATGAGTTAATTCAGTACGCAATAAGAGCAAGACAAAATTTAATGGAACAACTTGGCTTTCGTCGCCAATCTTGTGATACACAGCCAATAACGTATAACGGAGGCTAGTAAGCTAGGCTAAAATTATCTTAACTGATTCTAAGGCATTTCAATTAATGTAGCAGACTGCGCTGCTCCTCAATCTTCTAATTTGACCCAGCTTTTTATTTTTTGCAGACTGTTATTATTATAGCAATTTTATAAAAATTAAGCTTGAACTTTCGATTATATTGAAAAGAGTTTCCAGTTCTGCAGCTGCAAAAGGATCTACAAAGCAAAACCATGTTTCGATGCTCATTAAACAAAAAGTGGAATTGCTGCAAAAAATGGATAAAGGCATATATATCTGTCTCAAAATTATGCGAGAAGTATGGCATTGGAAAGTAAACTGCATATGACATAAGTAAAAGGAACTTTTTGAATTTTTTATGGAAGCAACTTAAACAACTTACATTGAATGAAATGTTTAATAAAGCAAACAAATAAATATTAAGCTTTTTTTGTAAATTTTGATACTCTTTAGAATATAATTGCTCTTTATTTCATAAATTACAATTTCATATTTTTAATTGTACAATTTCTGCATGCCATCTTACCAGGTTTAAATTGATGATCTATTATCTGGAAAACTCTCAAATCCGGAATTGCGAAGTCCCAACGAGTCCGGATTTCGGACTTTATACTGGAGTACTGAACAGCCACTACTGTTAATCAGTCAACAGTACCAGTCAGCAACAATTAACATTTATTATACCTAAACATTATTACATTTATTATACCTTAATTCTATATATGGTACTTAAATGTCAGGCAATTCTTGAAGCTTTCAAATCATGTGAAGGTTCAAGAAAAGAAGAAAAGGTAATGATAAATAGGTTATAAGGTATTTTGCCCGCCTTCTTAGCATGCCTTCATAGTGTAGTGGTCAGCACACTTGAAGCGTATTCAAGAGGTCCGTGGTTCGAGTCCCGGCAAGGACATTGCTCATTTTTCATCTTTCCAGCTTCAGAAAATCCTTATGACTCTACAGTGGCACCCCAACTAAAATAGTGGTGGATGATAATTCTCTACCAGGATTTGGCAATTGGGGCCTCTAATCCCCAGTCTCCCTTCAAAAGGGAGAGTATATAAGATATTTCTCCTGCCTTCTTAGCATACCTTCGTAGTGTAGTGGTCAGCGTGCTCGACACGTATTCTAGAGGTCCGTAGTTCGAGTCCTGGCGAGGGCATTGCTCATTTTTTATATCTCCTTCTTCAAAATAGCCTAATGTCTCTTCAAGGTTTAAAAAGAATTGTGCTAATTTTCAATGCAACTAGCAAGTTTTCCTTTTCCTATTTAA